GACCCTTATTATGTCCCGGACCCTGTTCTAGACACGGGGACACAGCAGTAAACAAGGCAGACAAAACTCTTCTGTCCTCAGGGAGCTTATATCTTGCGCAAGGAGACAAGAGCAAACTATGGAGCGTGTCCGATGCTGGAGGTCAGGGAGAAAAATAAAGTGGGGAAGGGAGATAGGGATTCGAGGCTGGAGGAAGGGAGTAAGCCACTTGCTGCAGGGATGCAAATGCTTGCTGGGTTCCAAGTTTTAAAATGATCCTTTCAAAACATATTGGCTCCAAACAACTCTGGCATAATTATGTTAATGGAGTCCCAGGGTAACCACAGGATCCAGAAAATAAACCAAGAACTTTATGGACCAGAAAGGGTCCATTTCAGATGGGCAAATTGAAGATCCAATAATAGCTACCACTTCTCCACATCTTGCCATGCACGGTTCTCAGCCGCTTACAGACCAGTATCCTCAATTCATCTTCACGCGAAACTAATGAGAAGGGTACCATCTTTTCTCCATTTAACAGATGAGAAAATGGAAGCCCAGAGCAATTAAGGAACCAGCCCAAGGTGACACGTGTGCTAAATGTTGATGTCAGGGTTTGCCCCAGAGTCCACACTCCCCTTACATTCCAAATAAATGCCCATGGCTGCCCTGAGATTTCACACACACACACACACACACACACACACACACACACACACACACACACACTGGAGGCTGGCTTCATATTTGCAATGTCTTCTCTTGATAACAAAAAGTGAGTGACAATGAAGGGACCCTCAAATACCACTTCCAAGATCCAATTAGAAATTATATACGTGGGGCGCCTCGGTGGCTCAGTTGGTTAAGCACCTGACTCTTGGTTTCAGCTCAGGTCAGGATCTCACAGTCCCTAGGCTCGAGCCGCACATGAGGCTCTGCGCTCTCCCTGCTCTCTCTGCCTTCTACCACCTGTGTTCTTCCTCTCTCTCTCTCTCAAAGATAAGTAAGCGTTCAAAACAAAGAAGAAGAAACTATTTTCTCAAACACTTGATGTTACAAACAAACCCAAAATAGTTCCATTTGGGTTTGAGACTAAAATTAGCCTTCGGGCAAAGGAGAGTCCATATAGCCAGTTTCTTACTAGGCGTAGATACCTCGGACTGAACACAAGTTCCCCGGAGAGAACTCCTGGCTGCCCCCACATTCCCCACAAACATGAGGGTCCTCTGTGATCCACATCTCTATATAAAAGACACCTGGGCCTCAACATTCCAGTCTCTCAGAGCTGCAAACACAAGCATTCTCCTTGGCCCCTCATTCTCTCACCTCCTCACCCAATCCGTCAGCAGCTTCTTTCCTTCCCACTAAGAATCTGTACCTTCTCTCCACTTCCCTTGTCCCCCAAGTGCAAGCCCCCCAGCATCTCTGGCCCGGACCACCATGATGAGCTCCCAACTGGCCTCTCTTCTTCCCAATCTGAGCCTGTGAAGATCTCATCTCCAAAGAGTATATCTGTAGTGAACTTTTTTTTTAAATGTTTTATTTATTTTTGAGAGAGAAAGACAGAGACAGCATGAGCAGGGGAGGGTCAGAGAGAGAGGGAATCACAGAATCCGAAGCAGGCTCCAGGCTCCGAGCTGTCAGCACAGAGCCCAAAGCAGGGCTCGAACCCACAAGTCATGAGATCATGACCTGAGCCGAAGTCAGACGCTTAACCGACTGAGCCACCCAGGCGCCCCAGTAGTGAACTTTTTAAAGCACAAATCAGACCGTGTCACCTCTCTGCCTAAAATCCTTCCGGACAACCAAAACACAGCCTTAAATTCCTCCCCCGCCTACAAGGCACCACCATGCCACCTGGCACTGGCCTGCCTCTCCAAACCCTTGGGGTTCAACTCTCTCCCTGGTTCACTCTGGATGAAAACCAAAAGATGAGTGAAAAGATAGTGCTAAGGATTAAAATGTGAATAGGGGTGCCTGCCTGGCATCTGACTTTGTCTCAGGTCATGATCTCACGGTTCATGGGTTTGAACCCCGCGTTGGGCTCTGTGCCAACAGCTCAGAGCCTGGAGCCTGCTTCAGATTCTTTGTCTCCCTCTCTCTCTGCGCCCCTTCCACCCCCCGCTTGTGCTCTGTCTCTCTGAAAAATAAATAAAAGTTTTTAAAAAATAAAAGGACAAAAATAGAAACAAAAGAACTGCAAAAGAATATGCCACGAGATCCAAAAGTGAAGGTAACTTGAATCAGGTCACCCACTATCTGTGCCAAAGGCATCCCCCCAGACCAGGGAGGTGTGGACTTCTGCTTTTTAATTCTGCATCTTCTCCAGTACTTCCTGTGCAGATACCTGTGCATTCTGCACACTGAAATGGCTCCAGCTCTTAGCAAAGTGCCTGGCACATAGTAGGTCCTCAGTAAAATGGTCTGGGAATAAATCCATTCATGACCACATGAATGTACTGTCGAAGTTTCTCTCTTTCTCCTCATTCCCTTCTCACTGTTCCAGACCTCCCCTTGAGAAGGGAGAAATGTGAGCCTCAGAGTCACCATAAATCCTCTCCAGACCACTAATGGACCCTCGGCCACAGCTGAGAGAACACAAATGTGGGAAAACACAGCCCTGAACACGAAGACATTAACCACTAGAAAGAGATACTGCTTCTGGAGTCAGTGGTAAACTCAGAAAATAGTCCACTACGCTAAGAATACACACTGGCGGCATAGATCACAGGAAACAAACTCAACAAAGATGAGATCTCACCAACGTACACAGTACATTTCACCTACATAGCCTGCAATCATGTAAATATTGTCATTATTACTATATTATTATTAATTTTGCCTCTTCTCAATCTGGCATAACCTAAATACCCCAGTGGATTTAAAATCATACAAAAGCATGAGTTACTTCAATTCCGACTAAATCCACTGGAAAGAACAAATCCTTTAATATGCATTGCAGGTAAAATACCATCCCCAAGTGAAATAACTGTAATCCAGGGTAAAATCTCTGTTGGCCTCATAAGCTACTCTTGGAGGAAAAAAAAAAAAAAGAGCATTAAAAGTGACTGCCCAACATGCAAACCAGATGCTGTCACCAACAAGGCACAATTACCAAGAACTGAAATCAGATTCAATCATCTGTCTCTCTCTCTGTCTCTCTCTCTCTCTCTCTCTCCCTCTCATCCTACACATGTTACCTATTCTTTTTCAGCTTTCAAAACATGAAGGGGAGAAGAGGCAAGAGCAGACACAGGACTATTTTGAGAAATAAAAGCTTTCAAAAGTTAAAAGTGCAACTTCCATTGACAAGAGTAGCAGGAAACCCAGGTGGCTCAGAAAGTTCTGTCAGTATAGAAACCAGTCAGTTTCCATATTTAGTAAGTCCTCTGCCACCTACTTGAGTTTCATGTAAATAACTGCCTGATCAAAGTTTCAACTGGAAGCCACCTGAACGTTTCCATCCCACCTGCAGGGAGAGAAGACCAAGTAACCTAGTCTAACCAGCAGAGAGAACCAAGAGTGCCCAGGGTGTGATTCAAACTTCACCAGCTTTCTGAGGAATTCCAAGACCGAAGATCCAAGGGCTACTAAGGCAGGACAAAAATCTCATCAACAGCCTCTACCTCCTTCTGGCTTGTTTTTGAAAAACAAAGTAAAAGAAAAAGGTAAACAGCAGTACCACCTCTGCTCCCTTCAAGTCCCCCTCCCTATCCTCTGTGTGCACCACATACTACCATCAACACGAATGCGCTGGGGGCCCTGCCCTGACACCCCCATCCTTCCACGTGGCCAGACTAGGTTTCCCAACTGTGAGGGCACAGTGAGCGGCAAACTTCAAGAGGCACCTAAATGGGGGAGGGGAGATAATAACACTACTTCACAAAGCAAACGGTCCATTTCCAAAGGGGAGAGGGTGTTCAAAGGAAAAAAAGAAACCACTCAACTTCTGTTGCAGACATGGGAGGGCTCAAGCCACCCACTGGGCAGGGGGCAGCATGCGCTCCGGAAGGTGCCGAGAATAAGTGGTAGGTGTTTGGTGGTGGTGGTGGTGTTTCTAAACCCTTAAGTTTTAAATGAACTATGTTACGAAGAGAATTGTGATGGGACCCGCGGTATAAACGCTTTTTCCTACAGGCATAAAGCACGCCCCCTCGGCCTCCCTTCCTCGGCCATTCTTCAGGAGTGCGGGAAGCCGCCAGCAGGCAGGGCCCTGGGGCTACTCGGGTCCCTGCAGGTGCCAGTACCGAAGAAGACCGGGTCTATCGCCGTCCTCTCCGCCAGTGCTGTGCGGCCTTGGGGTGGGGTCACGGCGTGCCCCATCCCGGGCACCCCGTCAGGAAAGGAGCTGGGACGCAGGAAGGGCACTCGCGGGGGCAGCCCCCGATCGGCCGGTGGCACAGTGGCGCGCACACACACGTACACACACACACACACACACACACACACACACAGCGGCGCGAAGGGAGGGGCGCGTGGTGGCGCGGGCGGCGGGCGCGTTACCTGTTCTGCCAGCCCTGGAGGAGGTTGGTGTATTTGCTGAGCACGCCTTCGAGCGCTGGCTCCCTCCGGCGGCCGCCTCCTCCGGACGGACTAGCGGCCACCGAGCCCGGGCTGCTGCGGCTGCCGCCGCCGAGCCCGGCTACCACCGAGCGGCTGGAGACCCCCCGGCCGGCCAGGGAGCAGGAGGGCGAGGAGCCGGCCGAGGTGGCGCGGCTGCTGCTGCGGCTGCTGCTGTTGCTGCCCCCGCCGCCGTCTGCGCCCTGGGCCGGCCTCTCCATGGTCCGTGCGCGCCCGGAACGCGGGTGCCCGGCGCGGTGGCGGCCGCGGCGCTGGAGCTCCGGGCGCGGCGGCGGCGGCGGCTGCTACAGCTCCGGGCGCCCGGGCCGCGCGTGGCTGCTCCGAATCCCCGGGAAATGCCTGACTCATACAGGAGGAAGAGGAGGAGGCGAAGGAGCGCTGGGAAGGAAGCCAACGGGCTGGATGCAGCTGCGGCCGCCCCTCCTCCCGCCGCGGCCGCGGCCCCGGCCCCTCCCTCCGGACTAGTTTCCTCGGCAAGTTCGGAGCGGGTGGCCGGTTCCGCGAGCCCTCCTGCGGTTCCGCTTCCTCTTCTTTCGGGTCCCAGAGGCCGCGCGGGCCCGGGGACCGGTGGCGCTGCCGGGCGCCGAGCCGCAGGGTGGGTACGCCCTGCCACCCTCGCGTTCCGTCTGCCGCCCCCTCTCGGATCCGAAGGGGCGAAAGGGAATCTCCGCGCGTTACTCCCCACCCCCAGCCCACCTCGGGACCTGGAGGGAGGGGCGGCCCCACCCACCCGATCCACCCGGATATTGACCCGCCCGGCCTAACACGGGCACACGCGCGGAGTCCTTCTCTCTGCCTTCCCCGCCGAGCCAGGGCCGGACGCACGCACACGATAACCTGGAAATGAGTGCTATGGGCAGAGCAAGTAACAGGGCAGGAACGCCCCCCAGGTTGTCCTGCATGCGTGGTAGGGGACAGGTGATCATCGTCACAGGTAAGCTTGCCCGAGGAGTGTTCACGCTGCAGAGTTACGGTGAATGCATAATGGACACCAGGGAGGGGGCTGGACTGGGGCAAGAGAACTCCAAGGTTCCTGCAAGTGCCTCCTTAAATTGAGTGCCCTGGGCGCCTTACTTGCCTCGCCCTAATCCCTACACGGAGGGACCCATAAATCTGGCAAGTCAAAGCTAGTGGTGTTACCATACAGCGCCAGGCACCCGGGAACCAGAGGGAAATCAACAGATATTTACAATCATTGTGAAGTATATATTCTCTGTGGTCGCCGTAACTTCTTCCCTGCACCCACACCCTAAGATACACTGAGCTGCAACTAGGTCTGTAAAATCTACAACAGTTGCCCTTTCGCAAAAGTAGATGAGTTGCACTTTCTCCACCCCACTAATAATTTTTGTGAGTATAAATATCCAACGCAATCTGGAAGTTTCTAAAATTACCTAGAAAAACAGCTTTGAGGAGCTCAGGCACCACACACACACACACACACACACACACACACACACACAAACAAAAACAAAGGGCGATAGATTGATAGGCAATCCCCATCCAGAGGATCTACAAACCCATAAAGCAGGTGAATAATTCAGCAGTTAAGTGGAATAGAGTCAGCTCTCATGCGGGCAGTTCCCAAGCCTGACCCCTTTCTAGCTTCAGATTCTTCCAGACAGCTTTCAAAGATGGTGTACTCTACAAATTTTCATGGAGAAGCTTCTGAGGCTGATAAGAAGTGGTTGTGCCCGGAATAAATTACGATTCCAGGTACATATACAGTAAAGAAAGGAAGGAAGGGAGGGAAGAGGGAGGAAGGAACAGAAAGAAGGAAGGGAGGACGGAAGGGAGGAAGGAAACGGGAAGGAAGGAAAGGAGGGAAGGGGAAGGAAGGAAGGAAGGAAGGGAGGAAGGGAGGAAGGGAGGGAGGAAAAGGAGCACCTAGGTGGCTAAGTTGGTTAAACCTCAGACTCTTGATTTCTGCTCAGGTCATAATCTCACTGTTGGTAGCATCGATCCCTGTGTCGGGCTCTGTGCTGACAACACGGAGCCTGCTTGAGATTCTCTCTCTCTCCCTCTCTCTGCCTCTCCCTCACTCATGCTCTCTCTTTCTCAAACTAAGTAAATAAACTTAAAAAAATAAAAATAAGATCCCCAAAGAGGTTGCATGGTAGAAAAGACTGACTCTGAAGCCAGACAGAGCTGAGTTGAACTCAGCTAAAGAGCTAAAGACCTTGTCTTAAAAGTTTTCTCACCTGCAAAATGGGACCAAATGGTAATACTGGCTGTGATGGGATTGTTTATTTGTTCAAAATATTGATCACATCTTCCTATGAGAGCTCCCTCCCTACACATGGACCTCAGGCCAGGGGAATGTAAACAGATGTAATCCTGCACATGCCACCCCCACACGTAAGCTTTCAAGAGCCCGTCATGGGGTTCAACGGTCTTTCTCTTTTCCTTCTACCAGGCTAGTAGCATGTCCGAGATAAAGGATCCCCTTCAATTTGGGCCCTGGAGAGAGAAGACACATGGAACTCAACAGAGCCAGAGCCAGTTAGCGTTGGCCATGTCACATGTACAAAATGCTTGTTATAAACCACTGAGGTTTTAGGAAGCATTTTTGCCACAGCATAACTTTGCCTAAGCCACCTGATACCCTTTTCAGAATGTGATTGTCCATGAAGTCCTTCACAGCTGTTGAAGACTGAGAAGGGAGGCCCATCCTGACCTGTAAATGTCAGTCATCACGTGCCAGAATAACGCCCCTGTTTGTGGGAGCCTCTGCCCCCCGAACTTCCTGCTGAAAGAGGAAGTGCTACCATCAGTCCATCCTGCCCGGCTGACCTGTGACTGGATGAACTAGGTGCAGCAGGTTCTCACCTTAGACGAAAAAATTGAGACTCTTGGGACTACAGTGGAAGCAGGGAGATCTAAGCTGAAAGCAATGGTCAAGGCTAGTACACGAGCCTGGTCCAGGCTGCTATAACAAAGCATCACAGCCCAGTGCTTTATCAGCAACAGAAATGGAGTTTCTCACAGTTCTGGAGGCTGGAATTCCAAGAGCAAGGTGAAGGCATGGTCACTTCCCAGGGAGGACTCTGCAGCGCCCCAGATTTATTGGATCTTCACATGGAGGAAGGGGCTGGGTAACTTGTGGGGGGCTCCGTTAGAGGAGCACAATCCCTGTTCATGAGGGCTCTACCCCCTCAATTTAGATTCCTCCCAATGGCCCCACCTCCTAATCTCACTTTGGGCATAAAGATTTCAACATGTGAATTTAGGGAGAAACAAACATTCAGACCAAAGCAAGTGGGATGGGCCAAGAGCAAGGCAGCTGTGTGGGATCAGAAATGGCCCAAGGAGGGGGATGCCCGGGTGGCTCAGCCCTTTAAGCGTCCAACTTCGGTTCGGGTCATGATCTCATGGTTCATGAGCTCGAGCCCCGCGGTGGGCTCTGTGTTGACTGCTCAGAGCCTAGAGCCTGCTTCAGATTCTGTATCTCCCTCTCTGCCCCTCCCTCACTCAAGCTCTGTCTGTCTTTCTCTCTCTCTCTCAAAAATAAATTTAAAAAAGCATTAAAAAGAAAAAGAAAATGGCCAAGAAGGGAAGTCAGTAGCAAGGACTGGAGTGGACAATCTAAAAGAAGAGGCAGGACCACGAAAGACATGAGGTAGACTCTCTTCCCTCTTGGCAGCCCTCTTCCCTGCTCTCACCCCTGGAGTTCTGAAGTCAAAGTCCCTTCTTCCAGAAAGCTTTCCTTCATCCTTGTGCAGAGAGTAGGGAAAAGATACTTGCAGAATTCTGGTTGGAAAGTCTTCACGTTAGAACAAAACAATTGGACAACAGAAGACAAAATAAATTGGCAAAAATATTGGAATATATGTTTAAAAATACATTTGCAAGCCACCTATATCCAATATAAGGGCTTATTGCTTTACTCAGATTGTATAAATCATTAAGAAAAATAAAAACACAGAATGACTGGAAATCTAACAGCTGTTTGTAAAGCGATAAATGACGAGAAATAAAACTAACATACCACACGTCTTAAAATAATGGGCAAGGGTGCCTGGGTGGCTCAGTCAAGTGGCCGACTTCAGCTCAGGTCATGATCTCCCGATTTATGAGTTCGAGCCCCCATCTGGCTCACTGCTATCAGCACAGAGCCCGCTTCACATCCTCTGTGCCCCTCTCTCTGCCCCTACTCCATTTGCACTCTCTCTCAAAAATAAATAAGCATTTAAATTAAGAAAATAAAAAGTAGGAGCACCTGGGTGGCTCAGTTGGTTAAGCTTCTGACTTCCACTCAGGTCACGATCTCACAGGTTGTGAGTTCAAGTCCTACATCTGGCTCTGTGCAGACAGTACAGAGCCTGCTTGGGATTTTCTTTCTCTACCTCTGTCTCTGTCCCTCCCCAACTCGTGCTTTCTCCCTCAAAATAAGTAAACTTTAAAAATTAATTAATTAAAAGATAAAAATTTAAAAAACAAAACAGGCAGATTCAGCAGCCCCTAGTAAGGAGTTGACTGCCCCATTTTCTACTCCACGTGGAGAACCACATGGTCTAGGGTTCCCACCACAAGCTTCAGAAGCTCCCTCCTCTGCCTGTGCTCCCACATACAGCCCCAATGTTGACAGAGGATATTCACAGACTAGCAAGAAAGTAGGTAGACACTGACCTAGGTGGCCAGATGGCATGAAGGAAGCCAGTAGAGAGACAACTGTCACAGCCAGACCCCCTCTGATATCAGCGTGGCCACATTTGCATTAGAAACAGCTGGTCTAATGTATTCTTCATCCCAGGTCATAAAAATAATAGCTAATATTTATTGAGCACTTACTATGTGCCAGGAGGGCACTGTTCCAAGTGTTCCTTTTTGTACTGTTTATGTATTTTTGAGGGAACGAAAGGGAGAGAGAGCACAAGAGCACAGGGGATGGGGCAGAGAGAAAGGGAGACAGAGGACCTGAAGTGGGCTCTGTGCCAATAGCCAAGAGCCCAGTGCGGGACTTGAACCCACAAACCATGAGATCCTGACCTGGGCTGAAGCTGGACACTTAACCGACTGAGCCACCCAGGCGCTCCCACCAACTCAAGAGTTTTTGAAATAGTAACTCATTTAATCTTCACAACAACCTCATGAGGTATAGGTGATTTTTGCTTCTATTTTACAGGTGGAGAAAAACTGGACCCAAGGAATGTTCAGCAGCATCCCCAGATCCTGATGGAGCTAGGATTTGAACTCGGGCAGTTTGCCTGCTGAGCTACGGTCCTCACTGCATTACACCACTTGCTTCAGGATAGATCCAGTTTCATGTCTGCTACTTCACAGAACCACTGGAAGTTCAGCATCGCGCCTGTTTCTTATTTGTGTTCATTTAGAGAATGAGACTCCCAGCGCTGCTCTGAGGGAAGCAGGGAAGGAGCCCGGCCGCTGGCCCTCAGCCCCAGAACCTGCACACAGGAAGACTCAACAAAGGTTTCTTGTTTGGTGAACGAAGCCCAATTTTACGAAGAAGAAACAAACTTCAAACTCCAAGTCCAGTGTTCTTGTCAGTATCACCTGTTGCCCAAACTGGTGCTGCGATGTGTACCTGCAACTTTACCCCCCCCCCCCACGGGGGGCGTGGACAGCCCCTCATCCTGTGAACAAGCAGCTCCACTCGGAACATCCCCAACGGTGACAACCAGGGAAACCAAACAGGGCCTTTGTCGTACAGCTATTATATTTTACTCATCTTCATGCGTCTTAACATAGAACATGTATAATATCAACATGTTTGTATATGAAATTGTATGTATCACACATGATTAATATTTATATGTATTATATTCACCTCTTATGTATATTATATACATTATATTAACATTTTTCCAAAATGGAAGTTATGTCATTACTTTGACTATTAATTTTATTAAAATAGACATTCAGGGGCACCTGGGTGGCTCAGTTGGTTAAGCGTCCAACTGCAGCTCAAGGCATGCTGTCTCAGTTCATGAGTTTGAGCCCCACATCAGGCTCTCTGCTGTCAGCATGGAGCCCGCTTTAGATCCTCTGTCTCCCTCTCTTTCTGTCCACCACTCGCTTTCTTTTTCTGAAAAATAAATAAACATTTTAAATAAATAAATACATAAAATACACACTCAGGGTGCCTGGGTGGCTCTGTCAAGAATCTGATTCTTGATTTCAGCTCAGGTCATGATCAGGGTATTACACTGTTGATGTGCCCCCAATGTAATCATTCCAGTACTGATGAACACTAGGATGCTTCAAACTTTTGTTATTATAATTTTTTAATGTTTATTTATTTTTTGAGAGAGAGAGAGACAGAGTCGAGTGGGAGGGGCAGAGAAAGGAGACACAGAATCTGAAGCAGGCTCCAGGCTCCAAGCTGTCAGCACAGAGCCTGACAAGGGGCTCGAACTCACAAACCAGGAGATCACGACCTGAGCCAAAGTCAGATGCCCAATTGACTGAGCCACCCAAGCGCTCCTAAACTTTTGCTATCATTTTAAAAAATGCCACTTGAGTAATTTTTTCCAGTAAGTGATTTCTTTAAGAAGCTGGAATTGCAATGACTGGGGCAAACTACACCCTATGTTATAAATACAACTCCTTTAATACAAAATGACTCCCAAAACGTCTGAATCAGTTTTAACTGTGCTGATCCTGGCTGGGTCTCCTCACATGTTTCAGCCTAGGCTGGCTGGTCCAGGTTGGCCTTGGCCTTGGGGCATCTGGAGCCCCAGCAGCAGAGGCCGGCCCTGTTCCACGGCACAGAGGCCTGTGGAGACGGGAAGTGCGCAGAGAAAGCCTCTTGAAGCCCCATCTGAGAACTGGCATCAGGCTTCTTCCTGCCCCATTTCAGGAAAGAGTGCTGACTTTCTGCACCACATGGGGAGGGGTATGAGGGCCGTGTTCCGGGGCCCCCGAGGTAAAAGGAAAACTTGCACAACGGAAGGAGCCATTGATGTCCTTAATTTCCTTGGGGCAGGAACCCATTTAAGCTGTTAAACAGAAAATAGATACAAGGTTAATGAAAAATAAACAAACAAACAATGCTAGATCAACTAGATGTTTTTGTGCCGAAAACTAAAAGACCTCTACCTCACACTTTGTATAAAAATTACCTCAGTGAAGGGGGACCCGGGTGGCTCAGTCAGCTAAGCATCCTGCTCTTCATTTCAGCTCAGGTCTTGGTCTCAGGGTTGTGAGTTGAAGCCTCATGTTGGGCCCCGTGCTGGGCTTGGAGGCTACTTATAAAAAAAGGTTAAGCATCAGTTGATTAAGTGTCGGACTTCAGATTAGGTCATGATCTCATGGTTTGTGAGTTTGAGCCCTGCATTGGGCTCTCTGCTGTCAGCACAGAGCCCGCCTAGGGTCCTCTGCGCCCCCGCCCCTCTCTGGTCCTCTGCCTTGCACACGCACATGCACATGCACTCTCTCACTCTCAAAAATAAACATTTTTTAAAAAGGGAGGTTTTTTTGTAGCCCCTCTGGAAAACAGTGTGGAGATTCCTCAAAAAACTAACAATAGAACTCCCCTATGACCCAGCAATAGCACTGCTAGAATTTACCCAAGGGATACAGGAGTGCTGATGCATAGGGGCACATGGACCCCAATGTTCACAGCAGCACTCTCAACAATAGCCAAAACATGGAAAGAGCCTAGGTGTCCATCAACTGACAAATGGATCAAGAGGATGTGGTTTATCTATACAATGGAATACTACATGGCAATGAGAAAGAATGAAATCTGGCCATTTGTAGCAACGTGGATGGAACTCGAGGGTGTTATGCTGAGCAAAATCAGTCAGGCAGAGAAGGACAGATACCATATGTTTGCCCATATAGGAGGATTAGGAGGAACTGAATGGAGGACCATGGGGGAGAAGAGGGGAGGAAATAGTGGGGGAGAGGGAGGGAGACAAACCATGTGAGACTCTTGAATGCCAAGAACAAACTGAGGGCTTATGGGGGTGGGGCAGAGAGGAAGGGTGATGGGCATGGAGGAGGGCACTTGTGGGGATGAGCACTGGGTGTTATATGGAAACCAACTTGACAATAAACTATTTTTTAAAAAGGGTTTTTTTAAAAATTACCTCAAAATGGATCAAAAACTAAAATGTGAGGGGCACCTGGCTGGCTCAGTCGATGGAATATGCAATTATCTCTGGTTGTGAGTTTGAGACCCACATTGGGCATAGAGATTACTTAAAATAAAATAAAATTAAATTAAAATAAAATAGCCTAAAATGCAAGATGTAAAACTATTAGACTTTTAGAAGAAAACATAAGAGAAATTTTTCTGAACTTGGGTTAGGAAAATGGAGCAAAAAAAAGTTACCTTCTGTGAGAAGGGAAAGCTGATGGGGAGGGCAGAGGGTTCTGAGGGGGAGTCAGGAACCACAGAGAATTATTCCCAGGCCTGGAGACCCAGTCAGGGAACTTGCAACTGGGCTGCAACGTGCCCGACTGGCTTTTATCATTGCTGTGGCCCACTCTTTCCTTCATGCCTTCTGTTTGCTCCTGTTTTTTTTTTTAATTTTTATTTTATTATTTTTTTAATGTTTTATTTATTTCTGATAGACAGAGACAGCGTGAGCAAGGAAGGGTCAGAGAGAGAGGGAGACACAGAATCTGAAACAGGCTCCAGGCTCCGAGCTGTCAGCACAGAGCCCAACACAAGACTCGAACCCACGAGTCATGAGATCATGACCTAAGCCGAAGTCAGACGCTCAACTGACTGAGACACCCAGGCGCCCCTGTTTGCTCCCTTTTTGAACAGGGGCATCTAGGGCACTTACCCTCCACCTGGGTTGCTACCCCATGTTGGGGGAGAGGGAGCAGGTGACCGGCTTCTTCCATCTCCCACGAACTATACTCAAGGAGCTAGGCCTGTGGAGCCTCTGGCCTGCACCACACTCCGATGATGAGATTCTGGACTTCGAGCTGGTGCAGTGATGGCACGAGACCGTGGAGGACTGGATGAGTACATTCTGCATATGGGAGGAAGAGAGATCATTTGTGGCCAGAGGGCGAGCTATTGTGCTTTCAAAGACCTGTCTACACCTTCTAGGGTAGCCTCTCCTCAGGAGCTGGAGCTAAATTCCTCTCCCCTTGAGTGCGGAATGGACTTGGTGGCCCACTTCCAATGACTTGAAAATGGCAGAAGTGACACAATGTCACATTCAAGGTCAAGTTAAGAAAAGACCATGGTTTCTGTCTTAGGTGAGTCCCCCTTCCCCCTTCCCCTTTCCCCTTTCACTCATTCTAAGGGAAGCAGGCTGCCGTGTTATAGGGAGCCTCAAGAAGCCTGTGGAGAGAGAGGCCCACATAGAAGGACTTGGGATGTGCTAGCCACTATGCGAGTCTCCTTGGAAGGAGATCTCCTGAGGCCAGCTAACAGCCGCACAAGTAACCTTGGGGGTAGACCATCACCCTGTCAAGCCGTGGAATGACTACAGCCCTGACAGACAGCCTGACTGGAACTCCATGACAGACAGACCCTGCACCTTGGGCTAAGCCGCTTCCAGATCCCCGACCCTCAGAAACTGTGAGATAATTAATGTTTGGTGCTTTAGGCCACTAGGTTTGGGATGATTTGTTACTCGGCACAGATGGCTACCTTGAAACGGATCATTGTGTGGTTTTTACCTCTTTGTTCCCCTCTCATGACCACTGACCAGCTTTTCATATCCTGAAGCTAGGAAGCAGGGAAATTAAGAGAATTCAGGACAGGTTGAAAAAGATGTGTCAGTGTGGGGTTGGCAAAAGCACAGAAATACAGAAAAATGGAACAGAGTAGAGTCTAGAAATAGTTCCATGTAAATGCAACCAACTGATTTTTGATGGAAGCACAAGGACGATTCGATGGAGCTTTCTGTATTTTTTTCCTACCGTTGCTGTAAAAGATTACCACAAACTTGGTGGCTAAAACGACACAAACGTATTATCTTGCAGTTCTGGCGGTCAGAAGTCTGAACATGGGTACAAAGGTCTAAAATGGAGATGCCAGCAGGGCTGTGTTCTTCTGGACGGCTCTCAGGGAGAACCGAACCCGGCCTCTTCCAGCTTCTAGAGGCTATGCGCATTCCTTGGCTCATGGTCCCTTCCGGCAGTGACATCACTCCAACCTCCTTCTGTCATCTGATCTCCTTCTCAGACTCTGACCCTCCTCTGTCCCTCTTATAAGGATGCTTGCAATTACACTGCAAAGCCCACCTGGGTGATGTTTACAACAGAGGACGTGGGAACGGCTCATGTGCAAAAGAATAGGAACCTTACCCTATACTCACACCTTACATAAAAATTAACTCAAAAGGGGCCCTAAATCAAAATGTGGGAGATGAGAGCACCAGGGTGGCTCAGTCAGTTGAGCGTCTTCTGACTCATGATTTCAACCCAGGTCATGATCTCACAGCCGTGAGATCGAGCACTGTGTCAGGCTTCACACTGGGCATGGAGCCTATTTAGGATTCTTTCATCCTTGGGGTGCCTGGGTGGCTCAGTCAGTTAAGCTTCTGACTTAAGCTCAGGCCATGATCTCACAGCTTGTGAGTTTGAGCCCTGCGTCAGGCTCTGTGTTGACAGCTCGGAGCCTGGAGCCTGCTTTGGATTCTGTGTTTCCCACTCTCTCTGAGCCTCTCCTCCCTGCTCATGCTCTGTCTCTCAAAAATGAATAACCATTAAAAAAATGTTTTAAAGATTCTCTCACCCTCTCTCTCTGCCCCTGCCCTACTCATACTCTCTCTCTTAAAAGTAAATAAATAAAATTTAAAAATCTAAAAAAATGTGGAAGATGAAACTTCTAAACCTTTAGAAGAAAATG